AGCAGTTTTCACAAAGAATGGGGAATTTTTCCGCCAGTAAAATGCTTTCGGTTCGCTCTATAGCAACGGATCTGCAAAAAAAAGGCAAGCAGCATCTATGAAGCTCAGATTTTGAACGGATTCCTTAACAGAACAGCCTGAACCTATCAATATACAACCATCTAGTATAAGTCGCTGTCGAGGGATGAATTCACGCAGAGTTGCACAGACAGCTAAAATAAATGTGGCGAGATCCGAAACGAGAAGAATGGAGAAGTTGCGCTGCAGCGATGACGAGAAGGAGAACAATGATAAATAAAATAGCAAAATTCTCAAAAAACGAAAAAAAAAATATCTGTCTCTGAACATAACACAGAAGTACCATTTTTAGTTGCAGAAAAAAAAAAAACAAACTGCGCAAGTGTCAAAAAATGGTGTGTACTTACATCATCAGCACAGGCCGTGGATTTCTCATCCTTGTTGCGAGAGCGTAGCGAGTCAGACGATTCAGTGGATGATGTTGATGGGCTTACATCAAATTGATCACGTTTCTTGAAAGCATGCAACATTCCTGAAAAAAAAAAAATCGCATTGATTTAAATGGAGAAGTTAAGCCACATAAGTTAAGCCACCTATGACTCATAGCGAAAATTTTACGGCTGTATTGGTCCGTGTAGTACTTTCTAATACACAAAAGAATACGTAAAGTGGGTTAAAATTCCACAAAACACAATTGAGTAAAAAAAAAAAAACCTTCAAATGTTCTGAGTTGCTCAACGAAGCCAAGATTTGGTGTAATGCAGTCACGTTTATTTTTTACATGTTCCATGGCTTCCGAAAGTGCCCAGCCATACTCCTGAAAACGCGAAAAAATACCTTAAGTTTGCGCAAGAAAACGCGAGAAAAAACGAGTGAGAAAATAAGTTGCAACAAAAAACGGCTCTTCTTGAAATTCCCTATTTAAAAAAGTATGAAACTCACGATCAATATCCCAAGCAGGTCAAATGATAAATACTATAAGAGGTACTCATTTTCACGACATTCAAAAAAAAATGCAAGATTTGTTGCTGCGTATAAATTTGAGATTTGAGAATTTTTTTCCAGACACTTGAGATTTTGTTCCATTTTTCTATGCATAAATTTTGTGATCGTGTTACGGGTACGTTAAATAAAAATCTGAACTTCTTCCGCAAAAAAAAAACAACAGCAGCATGTAAAACAAGTCAAAATCAAACTCCACTTCGTATTTATTCAATATGGAGGGTAGGGGAATACAAGAGCAGCCCGAATAGTAAAATGTGCCAAATGCAACCACACGCTGGCAAAGATGTCAACAACTTCCTCTTTTAAAGGCTGCTTAGAAGCAAGCTGATGGCGAGTTCGACTTCCTGGCATTCGCCACTACCAATTTACCATCAAAATGAATGGACAAAAACTTGGTGGGACCGGATGTTCCAAGATTTTCCCAGTTTTCATCAAAAAACAACGCAAAAAATATATATGGCACAGTATAAATCAAACATAAAAATTGAGCATAGAA